CTTTTTTTAAATAATATAACCGGTGCTAATAGACATTCGCAATAGCGGATACGTTGCCTACCCTTAATCGACGGAGGAGAAGACGCACAAAAAGAAAATATTTCTTCTTCCGATGCGTCTCCTCCACCGCCAAATCCACGTTCCCTTTCTATCCTATTTTTATGAGAAAAAGGGTGGGAGGTAGAAGGGACTAAAGTTGGGCCTCCGGCACTACACTCATCAGACGAAACGCGGTATTGCTCCCACTTCACGTCTGTCTTCTGTCTGAACTAAGGTAGTTGGAATATATTTAGTATAACAAATCTACCTGGACGACTATTAAAGCATCCGTTTAATTACTCTGTCTGCTACAACTACTTGATGTAGTTTTTATATTGGGTCGCCAATATTTTGTCGTTACTTATGCCTGAGTAAATAAAACTTAATGTAATTGACACTGAACCGCGACATAAATATTATAAATTAGTCATAAAAAGTGATGTTCGCATTCCATGTGATTAATGCGCAAAATGTAATCGCCAAATTGGTAAACCTCGTGGACGCAGTTGCGTCGTCAAATTCCGAATGTGTGAGTAAAAAAGTTAGACTACTTAAACTTTAGATTATAAATACGAAAATTTGCATGGGCGTTTGTTAGAATTTTTAGCCAAAACTACTGAATGGATCTCGATAAAATTTGGCATAGATGCAGAGTTGTACAGCATAGTTTGGAAAAACGCACAGGTTACTCATTTATGTCCTATAAATCCGCGGGAACGGAGTCGCGGTCTAAAGTTAGTCTTTATATAAAGTAGAAATACATAATTGACTTCTTCGCTCTCAGCCCTTTAAAAGTGAAATCCCACAAAATTTTGAAATCTATTAAGTAAAAAAAATAGGTTCATTTGGATTATAATTTTTAACTGTCCGATATAATTTTAATTTTGCGACTGAGACAATTTAATAATAAAAAAGGTCCAGTGTTTATGTGGCTTCGCTTCTTATGCTGTTAAGGTCACAATAAAATCAGCTCAGAGATCAGATAAGAAATGGGAGTGTGAACGAAAATAAGTTTTAATTTTTGACTTAAATTGAAGGACTGAAAAAGGCTTTCAATGAATGGACAATTCACGTTATTTGCTGTGGTTCTGCGAAGATTTTAATCTTCCGAAGTATGATGGGAATTTCTTTGTTCAGTTTTATCAGAAAAATATACTAAAAACGGTGTTACGCGTAAATGGCAATCTTACACGAAATTATAAAATATTTCAATAATGTCTTGTCATGAAATACTTTCTACTAAATTGAACCTTAGATCTTCATATCAGAAACCCGTTGTATTCTTTTTATTATTCTTGAAATAACAAAATGTGGGTATCAGCAGTAAGTTTACGTTAAAACGTTTTTTCATTTTTGTATATAAAAAATAGTTTAAGTAGTCCTGATATTTTGTATAGTTTGTTCCAATGGAAATGTACCCACAATATTGACGTATACAGTTTAGTTGTGTAGTCGTCCTTGGCAACAAACCTTTCTATAAAAAGCATTCCTGTTAGTGATTAAAAGTTGAGATATCCTATATCCTTTTATAGACCAAATGGCAGTGACCTAAACAATGCAAAGAGTACAAATAGATCAGTAAAATGAAGGACAACGTGTATTAAGGAAATAAGTCGCTTCATTTGTTTATCAGGAAGACTTTTGCTGATGCAATGTTCAGTCCTTAAGCGACGTTTATGATCCGAACTGATATTCGTGCAGCACAAAAAAGATAAAGGACAAATAAGGTAAAGCAGATCATATTTTAAGTAAAGATTAAAAATTTAATTCGACAATTTCTGGTTACAGTTTTTTGCATGTATTGCAATAACTCGATAACTACTGGGCCGTTTTTAAAAATTCTTTCACCACTAAAAAGCCACATTACCAGTGAGTAACATAGGCTATGTTATTTATTTTCACAGGGACGAAGTCGCGGACAAAATCTAGTCTTGATATAAAGCAAAAACTAAGTAGTTTTAACTAATGGAATGTAGTTACTAATATATTACTTTTGTTTTGTCTGTCTTTATCAATAGGATACTATTATTCTAATTGCCTTAAGTGAGTTATTTTTCATTTTATTTAACAAGTTTCCGCCCTATATGAAAAAATAGGTCTATAAAAATTGATGCAAATTTTCATTGACATTAATACTAGTTGTATATGAAGTGGTCAATTTATGCACGGATGGTTCTTATTGTATCTTTTTTAATGGACACAAGTATGACAGAAAATAGGTCATCTGATAAATGTATTAATTTTTTTGACTATTTTAAAATAAATACTGTTATATCGAGGTTCTAATAGATTTTGAGTTTAAACACTGTTTCAGTTTTGGCGTAACCGCGACTTAAAACTGCTGAAAACTTGTTTTTTTTTTTTAATTTTCGAGTATTTTTATAGAAGTAGAAATAAAGGTAGGACAAGACTTTGTGCCATCTAAGTTTATTGTTGATTTAATCATTATCAGAGGTTAAGTAATGACAAAAATTAAAATTAAAATTTGACCCTATAGAAATTTGTATCCTAAACTAGGTAATTGGCAATTATTGGTCTACTTATTATATCCTGATAATGTCATATGACTTATCTGAATTAATATCAAGAATTGAATAAGCATTAAAAACGAACTCAAACACACCAGTTGGCATTGGATTTTTTTTTACGTCTACATTAAAGGTGGTAACACCTTGGCACTCATTACCTATATCTTTTTTTAAAAAAGTACTGCGATATTATACAGTTATGGCCATAGAACATCGAGAAATGCCTTATACTAGAAAAATCATCTCGATGTTTATGGCTTATGAATATGAAGCATTATCTATATAAGGCATGACCTATAGGTGCTATTCCCATATAGATAAGGTCCAGTTTACAGCATTTTTCGGCGACAATCCTATATGGCCAGTGTTCAAAAGCTGTTAAAAAAATTAAGATAGATAATTGGCCATTTTTTTTGTTTTATTCGTATTTTTTATTACTTATTTAAATTAGATACAAGTAAAAGAAAAATAAGATGTTGTTAATTATTTAAAACACCTTTTTTAGCTAGTCACCTAAAAGTAAATAATCTGCGTCATCAGAGGTAAAACTTCCAAATTTTTGTACTCTCCTTTTTCTCATGATATGAGAACATCATTGGTGGCCAAAACTTATATATAAAAGCAACGGACAAAAACTACAAGTATAAAATAATATAACTTCATTCCTTTATTATTAACTAATTTTCGCCCGCGACTACGTCCGCGTGGAATTAAAAAAATCAGAAATGAGTAGTCTATGTGTTCCAGACTGTCCTCTACACCTATACCAAATTTCATCGAAAGCCGTTTAGGCTACAAACTCTAATAAACATTCATCCATTCATCCATCCATCCATCCTTCCATCCATCTAAACTTTCGCATTTATAACATTAGTATGATTTGTTTTGTTCATGTATCTCGCAGTCGAAACGAACGGTAATATAAAAAGCCTTGTATACAATCAACCTATAGTTCCGTTTAAAATGTTATTGATCGTTATGTCACCTTTGTACTTTAAATATTTTTTTATCATTCGCTAAAAAACCGTGACCCTTGCCACTGTCACCGAACAAGGAAACACATGTTGTAATTTAAATACAATACGCGTACAAACAATATCGTGCCAAAGTGGTTCGAAACGTTTCGCCGAAAAGTTGACGGACGCAGAAACTAGAGCGTGTGCGAACTTACACAATACTTATGAATAAAGCGATTTATATTTGATGTAGGAGAATTTTTAAATGCGAAATGGTTAAATTTTAACAAAAACTATGTCTAATGCTGAAATTGATATTTGATGATGATGATTATATTTGAAATTTTCATTTATTTAATCATCACCTAGACATTCATTAGTGTTAGGTGGATCTAAGTTTTAACGGATTAAAACTCAAGTTACGTAGTTCACAATTTACGAATTTATTGAAAATCGAATGGTTAAAAGTTGCTCGGAAACCGACCATAATTGACGCAATCCGACGCGTTAAATGGCCTAAGAAGCATCTTTAATTAACTACGAGCTGTCGCTCGCAAACTTCGTTAGTGCCGACTTTTTTTTAAAAAGTCATCTCTCACTTTCCCGCGTCCATCTTCTATCAGTTATATTTCAGTCAAAGCCCCATCAAAATCGAACCACCGTTACGCCATTTTGACAGCGCGGAATTTAAAAGAAAAGTAGCCTATAATATGCCTAACCATGTAAACTACCCTCCAGTGAATGTCCCGTCGAAATCGGTCCAATCTTTTTGGAGATTACCCGAAACAAACGCGGCTTGCGGACAGACAGACAGATAAAAAAAAATTATATGCGATTTTCGTTATCAGCAACGCAAATACATCATCATCAGTAAGAATATTATACATTGTAATAAATTTAAGAATGCGTGAAAATAGTTAAAAGTGCGATTCGGTTTTTTTCGTAACAAATTAATGCAAGTAGAAATCTTCACAGCTTATCAGATGTTGGTAACGCGGTAAAAGCGTCTATTTTGCATTTATCAAGCCATCTAAATAAAATTAATTATCTTATAATTAAGGCTGCAGTCGTCTTATAAATTATGTTTAGTCATTGTACCAAAACCTCTTTACGCGAAGTGGGATTTTTTAACTAACATTATGCAACAAATTTTGATATCTTTCACAGTAAAACCAACAAAACTCTATTGTTTTAATAGTTATATTTGTCGTTTACAATGTGGAAAAAGTATTTCAATTTTTTAAATATGGTAGGTTTTGGTATAATGCATGATTCCTTTGGTCCCAAGCTTACTTTTATCATCACCATCTCATTCTACGTCCCTATTGAAGGGCTAGGAAACTATCATCATAGTTTTATGATCAGACATCATATCCAAAATGTAAATAGATTAATCGTCTTGTATACAAAATAGCAGAACCAAGAGTGAATTAAGTACTATTTAGATACAAAGTAAGTAATATTTAATATTTTTCAGAAATACCATTATCACAACGATAGCGGATCAAAACAAAAGTAAGATAATTCAAGAAGGAACCTACAGTTATCCTATGTCTAAGAGAAAATTCATATAAGCAAAGAAAAGATGAAAAAGAGTAAAAGTTGTGTGATCGTTGACGTGGAACTTTCAATTTTTTTTTATTACCATAAGGTGACCTATGAAAAAGCGGCCACCTGAATCAGCCAAACTGGCGAAACGACCGCTATAGACATTCGCAATAGCAAATGCGTTGCCTAACCTGAATCGACGAAGGAGGAGACGCACATAAAGAGTATATTTCTCCTTCCTATGCAACTCCTGCAACGTCTGATCCACGTTCCCTTCCCATACAAGAAAAAGGATGGGAAGGAAATGGGACTAAAGTTGGGTCTCCGGCTTTATTGCTCGTTCATGTATATTTTATAATATTCTGTAATATAAAGGTCACATCTCAATTTATGTGTCGTACGTAACTTGAACTTGATGTAGTTAACTTCGTGACACATTAGCCGCGGGCGCACCTCGATCAATCTATCAAGCGTCAGTACGACCAATCCCTTCACTGCTGATATTTGACAGAGAGAATTTAGTGTCATTAGTTACTCAAATTTTAACGGCGAAGTTAATTTAAATGTACAAAATGGTAAAAAACAATTTTATGAAAAAATAAGTTTAGCTTAAGCAGATAAAAAAATTACTCCTCATAAGGTGAGACATGGAACTAATGATTTTCTGTACATTAGGAAGTGATGTAATGAAGTAGCCCATTAATAGGCACCACATAAGTGCACATACATACCTGAATTAAGGTGTGAAAAAACAAAAGTCCATTTATTTGTCCGAATGTTTACATTATATTTCCATTTATGAAATTATTGATGTCTCTGTAAAATAATCCATCATTGCTTCTGCAATATCCAAATTTTAAATGACAGTGATTTATGTTACTATACCAACGTGTTTGTTCTTAACTGTGGGTTTGCATTGTTAACACTTGTATGAAAACATATTTTATTGTCTAGACACTCTCATACTTTTTGAAAAAAAAAATGATCACAGACAATAACTATGTTTTAATACAAATTGAACCTTTTTGGCCTTTGATGTCTCTGTATGCTGTCCACTGATCTCTATTAAATGGATAGGTTAATGTTAGGAAATGGCTTTCGTATTGATTTACACGTACCTATTGTCGTTAATGTCCCTTAATTTTTTATCTAAAATTAAATCTAAATAAAAGAATATGCACAATCACGGCTATTATTAGCCTGTCCATTTATATAGGTCAGTGTTTCACTGGAAACAAACAATGTAATGCTAATTAGATAGATTTACTGCTACCGGTGTCGTTAATCTGATTTAGAGCAGTATAAATTGTTAATCTGAAAACGTTTGTTATACTTTATCAATGTAACAATTGTGTTAAATTTTAATCTTACTAATATTATAAACAAGCTTTCGCCCGCGACTCCGTCCGCGTGGAATTAAAAAGAACAAAAGTGAGTAGCCTATGAGTTCTTCCAGACTATCCTCTACATCTATACCAAATCTGTTCAGCCGTTTAGGCTACAAACTGTAACAAACATCCATCCATTTATAATATTAGTAAGAAGTAAGATTAGTAAGATGAGAAAGTTTGAATGGATTGATGGATGTTTGTTAGAGATTGTAGCCTAAATTGCTAAACGGATCTCGATGAAATTTAGCATAGACCTACAGGATAGTCTGAAAAAACACATAGGCTACTCATTTTTTATAATTCCATGCGGACGGAGTCGCGGGCGAAAGACAGTCTATCCATAATTTATAAGTATTTTCTCTTGATTATATCATAGGAAGGATATGGTTTTGTTTTCGTTATAAAAAACTAGTTTTTACCGCGACTTGACCTAACCTAATCGTGTAGTTGAAAGATTATATGTACTGGTATAAATACTGCATTCCATCTCTTGAAAAGTGATAAAATATTGCATATATATATTTCAATTCCTGGCGCCGATCTCTTTAATTAATTAAAAGGTAAGAATTTTTATGTGCTCGCTTTAAAACTTCACGAGTAAAACTCAAGAAGCACTTCATCAACAGAGAAATAATTTATTGTTTTTAAATTATCTTTCAACTGACTCACAAACTTCCATACTTGTATATCCAATATTGGATAAAAACTTCCAGGGGTTTTTAATCACTTTTGTACAATCAGCCGGAAAAAACATCAATATTATTTTACTCTCGTAATTGATTGCTATTTTGACGTGATAAAAGAAATGTTATCTTCATTATTTTCATCGCTGGTTTCAAGGATTTATTTAATTTCATAAATATCAAAGAAGTAGAAGATGTATGAAAGAGCAGCACATACTGTGCCGACCCTCCATAAGGGATAAGGGCAAGTGGATGATGATAAATATCAAACACTAGCTTTCGCCCGCGATTCCGTCCGCGTGGAATTAAAAAAAAACAAAAGTGAGTAGCCTCTGTGTTCTTCAAGACTATCCTCCACATCTATACCAAATTTCATCGAAATCCGTTCAGCCGTTTAGGCTACAAACTCTAACAGACATCCATCCATCCATCCATCCGTCCATCCATCCATTCATCTAAACTTTTGCATTTATAAAATTAGTAAGATTAGTAAGATTGTTAGTACGTCAAGAGCCTTTAGGTATTTTAAAGAGTAATGAAATAAATGTACTATGCTAATCGTTAAACAATAAGGTCAAGAAATCATTTAAAAATATTAAGAAATTGAAAAATCTTAGCTTGAAAAATAACCTATGATACAAACAATTGACTCCTGCTATATGATTATAGAATTACATAGTTACTTTTTTATATCATAAGATGGCAAAGGAACAAGCGGCCACCTGGATTCGCTAAAATGGCGAACCGAGCGCTGCCGATAGACATCCGCAATTGCAAATGCGTTACCTACCCTTAATCGACGGAGGCGGAGACGCATATAAATATTATATTTCCCCCTTCCTAGGCGTCTTCTCCACTGTCAAATCCACTTTCTCATCCCATCCTTTCCTTATAAGAAAACGATAGAAAGAGAATGGGACTAAAATTGGGATTAAAATAAAACTAAACACTAATGTTTTCGGAAATTAAATATGTACATTTTTCACAATCAGAAGGTATTGACCCCGCAGTAGTCAAGCGTAATATCAAAAAGACTACGACATTTAATAGATCATGGAAAAAGAATCATATAGAATAACAAAGCTAAATCATTTATCGCAATGTTTACGCATATAAAAACTGGGCGCTGCTTTTTAAAGTTCAACGCCTCCGTCTTTGTTCAGTGAAACGTTTATTTTTTGTTTTTCTACGATTTCCGCATTGTCGGACCACATTCTTGTAATTTATTTATGTCATGCTATTGTGGCATTCATATTTGCCCCTGATATATGTTGCTAAATTTATGTTAAAAGTAACTTGTTATTGTTTAAATTCTTTAGAATTTTCTTCGTACATTACTCCAATTTTATGACATTATTAATCTTACTTAAGCGTCGCCCATAAGCTAGAGAATTAAAAAAAAGTAAAAATGATATAAAAACACTTCGAATTAGACCATAATAAAGGTAGCAGCCCCATTTAGACCTATCCTTGTTTATCAATAGGCGACGCTTATGGATCTTCTTACATTGGTTTATTATAGAAGTCCTATTATTCGTAGATACTAGATGATACACCCCAAAATGTACTGACGATCTTTTTCGGAGATAATATTATGTAGCGGCATTCATAAGTATAACGATTCACCCAATAGTATAATGTTTCTACTAAAACTGAACCTCTGATGTAAAAATTTATATAATAAACTGTACTGTTTGTTGTTTTGTACCTTTTGTAATTCCACTGTTCATGTAATATGGAATTCCTTTCAGGTTTCTATTACGTAGATGGTAAGAATAGGAAATTTATTAACAATAAAATGTTTTGTATTAGAATAGAATAATAGTTACACAACGTAACTTGTCATTGGCCGATTAGTAGAACGGAAATTCTATTAGTAGTAATCAGAATACATTGTATGTTCCAGTAAAAAATAACATGCATCAGTCAATATAATAAATGTTTCTTTTAGAAAAACAAAGTTGCTATTTCAATAAGTTATGAGTTATGGCCAGTATGTTACTCGTACAAATAATTTAATTATTGGTAGAGTTCACAGTAATGACAATTTGCCTAACGAATAGTGCCCAAAGACGGACATTGTACGCAGGCGATGGTGTCATTTGTAATGTAGGAGGAAATGTAAACTTTTTTAAAAAATAAAACATTATTTATATTAATATTGCGTTTTATTAGACATTATACAGATAAAAGTAAATACAAACTATGGCAAGAGTAAATCTCATTAAAGTTATGTCATCACAAAGCTCAGATATATGATACAGCTCGAAATAAATTATTACATTACAAATAATAATTACAAAATAAAACTTAATAATTCTAAAATTACCTATATCAAAATTATCTCAGTTTTAAAGGAATACGTATTGTTTTAAGTAAACGTTTAATAATTTAAATGTTATTTATATGCCTAATTTTTCTATATAGTTGCTTATTACATAAATAAAGCCGTACCACCGAAATCGTATGTAAAATCAAAAATTATAAGCATATCGTTTATACAACTTATTAGTCATAGCCTTGTTCTAATAATACAGCATAAAATAGGAATATACATATAAAAACCTATGTTTATTACGAATTTCGTTAATCATTTGTTAGGTGGAAAGTCTAGCGTGGTGTATGCCGGTCTTGTGCGTGGCACCGGCGGTCTACGAGGTCTTGGGTGGGTCTTTCCACCTTCAGCAACCGGTTTCAGTGCTACCGCCTCGCCTTCCTCAGGCAAATAAGGCGTTCTTGGGTTTAAAACTAATGCCTTATACGATGAATGTGAATCCGCAATACTCCTTCCATCTCCTTCATCTCTTCGTGATAATTCAGAAAATGGGGACACCGATCTTTTCTCTATTCCGCTTGGTCCAGGAGTTTCTTCTTTTGGTTTCAATTCGTAAGCGTTCTCTTCTTTTCTTTTAGGTTCGTCTTTCTTGAACTTCGCCTGGCGTTCTATAATTTCGGCCGTTGTAAGGTCTGATCCTTGCACGTCGGTTTCTAGGGGTGGCGCTGAAAGCCAAGGTCTTGAAGTATTACTACTGCACCACCTTTCCTCATTTTCACTGGTGTCACCTAGTAGTCCCAGTTTTTCTAAGTTCTGCAGGAGTAGGTTTTCGCTGGAACTTGCCGCTCGCATTTCTGTTTTCGATTCCTCTGCTAAAAGCAACTCGGCTAAAGGTGGTGCAAGACCCAATCCAATATTCCTCTCATGGTATACTTCGGAAATAGTCGGTGTAAGTTCTCCACTCATATGACGAACTTGGGCCATCGAATCTCTACTGCTTGAACCCATTTTGCTTCGAGTGGCTCTTTTCGATGTTGAGGGCTGATTTAGTGCTGGATCGGGCTTTTCTTCCTCAGTTCGTCTAGGTTGGGCAGACGCTAAATCGTAAAATGCATCTAAATACCTCGTGTGGGAATGTTCAGGCCGTCTGCGTAGCACGGTGTCGTGGCCGGAACTTTCCCAGTCCGAGTCGTCGGTCGACGGAGGTCTTCTAGTGTAAAGAGTTCTGATCTTAGTCTGGTGAGCGAGGGCCAGTGATACGTCTCTTTGCGGCGCTGTCGACGTGGAGGGGGCTGCGGCAGGTGGCGACGGCGTGAAGGCAGCATCGCTCTCACCGCGGTAGCGGGGCGGCGGCGGCGCGGGGGGCGGGGCAGTTCTGCCGTCAGGCTCCCCGCGGCCCACTTCAGTGTTGGACGTTGAGCCACGTACGTACATTGTGAAAGCACCACCGCAAGATCCCAAAGGTAAAGGCGGTGGTGGCACTGAAGATACGCTTTCTTCTGCAATAGAAGAATAACATGATTAAACAGACAGTAGAGTGAAGGGATTTATTAATGTTAACATAAACTTACGTCGATGTTGTCGGGGCGGTGGTTCGCCATCTGAGTGGGGCTCCAGGTCACCGTCATCGATAGACGCTAGAGATTCCACGCTTGAGCTAGACTCCAAGCTTAGACTTCGTGGAGCTTCTTGGGTATCTGATTGATAAAAGTGAATTAATTTGATTGTTTTTCATTCAATGGAGTTTGTTACATAATTTAAATAAAGATCATACCAAAGAGGGCTAACAAAGCTTGCAAGACGAATTGTATGTGCCTTCTATTTGCCAATTTGCCTGTGCGAAGTGTTACTTCGTCTTGTCCTACTTCTGCCAGGTCGAATCCTAATGATGCCAATAATTCGTGGCAGCCGTTTACTCGCCAGAGTCTATAAAAAAAGTAATTGTTAATATCTTGAAATAGAAAGCGATTTTGATTACCAAAAAACAATGTACAAACCTAACGTTGACTGCAACTTCGATGGTGTCGCCTTCGGAGTTCTTAACGGAGAACTGAGATATGACGGAGCGGATGACACCAATAATCTCATCTGCTACATCTCCGTTTGATATCAGTTTTGAGAGTGCTTGCAATGTAGTGGGTGTCAAACCTGAATAGAAAACACAATTAGAAAAAATGTTAATGATTCATTTGTGTTGTAATAAATATATTATCTGTCCTGGGTAATAAATTTAAAAATAATATCATACCAAGTAAAGCTTGCAAGCTGGCGGAACATTGAGTCAATCTTTCTTCGGGGTCACTTTGAGGGAAGAATACGCTTGACGGTATACCGTTCGCTGCTGGTTCGAACCTTAGAAGATAAATACTCTCTTTAGACATAAAATAGATAGATAGAAACATATTTTTTTCAATATCTGGATTAATTTTGAATCTTTTTGGAAGAGATAAACCTGTCGTGCCACTTCAGATGTACCGAAAAGGAATATGTTTTAAATACATTTATTTTCTCTTTAATCGTAGTAATGTCATTAAATGCGTACCTGAAGCCAACGCTCATGAGCAGCTCGCGCCAGCCGGCGGCGGCGCCCGCCTTGTTCTCGATGCTCTTCTGTGTCGTGTACATCGCGTTTTTCTGCCCCCGTACTATCCGCTGCAGAGACTTCTCCACTAAATGCAGGCACACGCGGAGTGCGTCCCTAAAATTTTATCATACGTAATGTAAAGCATTCTACTGAAAAATTTCATCTTTAAATATTAATGGTATTCTGTACCAAATTAAGAACATGTACATGAGGTCACTTCGTGCATGCATTGAATGTGTCGTTATAATTACCGGCACTTGTCTGGCGCGGCGAGCAGCTCGCAGAGCGCCTGCCCCATGAGCGCGACCTTGTTGCTGAGGCGCACGTTGGCGCCGAGCAGCGCCAGCCCCGCCCAGTGCGCCGGGTGCGCGAAGTGCTTCGTGTGCCGCACCGTCTGCATCGCATCACCCAATGCCCTGTAAGAAAAGTAATGAATACTGACGAACTACTTCTATTTCCCAAACATAGTACAGCATTTAGACCTCTCCTTGTTTTCTGTTACAGCTAGGATCTGATGTACTAACGTAATTTTGTAAATTCAAAACCACTCACTTAGCCACACGACTGCCCTGCAGCAGTGCAGAGTACAACGCTCGGTATAGTATCTTGGTGGCGGTGTCCTGCGGCGCGGGCCACAGCGCCAGCAGCACGGCGTGCGCGCCCGCCGCCAACAGCGCGCGACACAGCCGCGACACGCCCGCGCCCAGCGAGGACACCGCCGCCGCGCCCTCCGCACCCTCCGCGCCCTCCGCCAGCCCCGCGCTGGACGGCGCGCACGATATCACCACCTGTATCACAGATGGATAGCTTTAACATGAGCTATCACAATAAAACAGATCCATCGATAATCTTAGAAGTTAACAGCAGGTAAGAGAAATCAGAAGCATTAAAAATATATAAGTTTTCGAATACATCACTAATTAAAAAATAAGTGTATGTATATGAGGAGTTTTGACAGAAAAGTGACTCACCAATCGTGCCGTTATTTTCATATTCATAATCTCCGAAGCAGTCAACATAAACTCTGAAGCAGGTGGCAGCTCTTCATTGCTGGGTGGCAATTCAGCATCTAAAAAAAATTAAACATTTAGTTTTAAATAGTTTTGTTAATCTGGTAGACATAATTTTACAATTTCATAGTAGTGATAACAACATACTTTCTTCTTCATTTTCTGTTGATGTGTCGGCAGCTCCACTGCCCACACTTGTATTCAAAAGACGTTTCGCTTGAGAATCAACCTGTATTAAATTAATTATAAATAAGTCTTTTTGTGTATAGGTTCCTCCTATATCTGTATCGAAATCTATCACGCTATCACTTTTACTCACAACTTCGCCAGGACTGAGTATGATGGCTGGCGTTTTCCAGCAGACATGTGTAGCAAAGTGTACGCACTCAGCTTGAGACAGTTGTGCTAGCACTGCCTCTTTAGAAGCCTGTTGGATAAAGAGATAAATTAAATACTGCATTACATTATGCTTATCTTCTAAAATGTTCTTTCGGTTTATATGGCACATATCTCAAAATATACACGCTAAACATCTTGCTACTTGGGAATGACCGCTTTTGCATCGTTCCTAATAAGATTTTGACTTAATAAGCAAATGACTTTTATTACTACTTTGATCTTATAATCAATGGAATATAGGGATTAGTGGTATTGAGGAATTTAAAAGTGGAACTCAGAATAATTAAGCAAACGGATGTGACCTGGTAGTCAGTGAGCGGCGTGACGCGCAGCATGTCAGCGACGAGCTCGGCCTCTTTGAGCTGCGCGTGCGCCGCCGCCCAGCGCGAGCCGCACACGCGCGCGCCGCCCACCACCAGGCAGCGCATGCCGGCTTCCGCATTGTTGCCTGATGATGTACCTGTTCAAATTCAATCCTATTTGGGTCAATGTCGTTAAAAGAGGTAGACGTCGTAGACAAGACGTTTTCTTCAATATCATCAATAATACCATTCATGTGTTTCAGCAAACAGAAATTTGCCGGATGATGGTTTTCTTTCTGAAGCTTTACAAATCCAAATTGCTTAGGTATCTTTAGTGTCCCAATACTCGTAGTAATTCAGTAATAGTATAAATGTTGTAAAAAGAGTGTTCACTTCTTTAGTTTTAATTAGCTGTTGCTCGCGACTTGCCAGCGTGAATATAAAAAAAATAATACACAAAGATAATGTAGTTTTTAATCGTGAGAGAACTTTTGAAATCGGCCCAGTAGTGTTTGGGTTATTTCAATACCTACAAAAATACAAATATCTCCTCTCTATAATACTAGTATAAATTATACGACTCCGAGTATCATAGTAATTGTTATGTCGGACTAACCTTGTTCCCGGTCGAGGCGTGCGCGCGCGTGGCGCGGCTGGCGCAGCGGGCGCAGCGCGGGCGCGGCGAGAAGCGCGTAGCGCTCGCACAGCGGCTCCGCGTCGCCGGCCGCCCGCAGCGCGCCCCACGGGCACGCGTACAGCGCGCCCTCCACGCCCACCACCAGCTCGCGCCGACCGCCGCAGCCGCGCCGCCCGTGCATCGCTGCAATTACAACATTGTACATAATACAAACCCAAAACATCTAAACTGACTACTAGAAACAAATAGAATTGGAGTTTTTAAGGGGCAAACACAGATTAATTAATCATTCCCAACTGCAATATAAGACCAACAAACCATGGTTGTTGTTGCAGGAGGCCGGCAGAAGGTCCTCGAAGGGCGCTATCAGCATCTGGTAGAGCATGTTGAGGCAGGGCGGGCCTTGCCACGCTGCTTGCTTCTTACGGGGCCCATGTGCGCTTGACCTGTCGAACAATGCCTTTTGTACTATAAAATGTCTTACTTCTTTTAAATATTACTACTTTGTTGTGGAAATTTAACTCAATAAACATATTTTATTTTATGAAAAAGGTGATTTTATTTCAATTTGTCTGTAGTTCATACCTTGTAGATCCCTGTAGACTGGCTACGGAACCGGCGACCGAGCCTCCGACTGAACCCACACTGAATAGAGAACTCAGAGAGTAGTTGGAAGAGTTCAATAAGTGATTGCGTGACACCTGCAAACAAAATCATTTTAGGACCTCATCGTGTAAGACTACTTTAATAATACTCTTAAAATATAATCTAAATATTTTCTACCATTCTAGCAAGTCCCGCGTTAGGTCTCTCGTCAAGCTCCCACTGATCCTCTTCATTCCTGCGCTCAGCAGTCTTCAGCCAGGCGGACCACTCGCTAATGTATCGCTCCAATTTGCCCAAGGAAGCTTTTGAACATCAAGGACAATTAAAATTAATAAACAAAGCCAAGTTTATGGTTTGACATTTCTTTCTAAGGGTTTAAATATTAATATCTTGTAATAATAAAGATTGTTTTGTATCTAAGCTTACCTGCGCTGGGCTGCAGGTCATCAGGGCTGATATCAGGAAGGCTGTTATCGCTGTCCTCGTTCTGGTCTAGAAGTGACACTTGATGGAATCGAAGAATACCTAGAAATAAAATAAAATTGTCAGTGTGAAAGGACGACAAATCTGAACCTTTAGTTGTATATGGTATTAAAAAAGACCAATTACCCTTGTGCGGCTGCAGCAGCCACGCGTATAGTTTCCCGGCAGCCAGGCTGTAGTACAGTACGGGCGCCTTTTGTTTATTTACAACCTCCAGAATCTGCTCCATGTTGCTCGGACTCCACAGCTCTGGTCTCTCTTTGCTAGCTTCTTCTGACATATTTCTATGTAACAAAAACGACAGCTAAATGTAACGAGGAAAAGACAAAAAAATAAACATACTTCATTAAAACTTCAATTTGAGAGTTATAATGAAATTAAAAGCAGAAGAGTCTGAAGGGAAAGTAAAGAGTTCTTAAAAGTTCTCATAAAAGCGAGGAAGTTAGAATAGTGTAATGCTTTGTTATACTCAATGTTCCTTTTATGTTACCTTTGTGCCGTGTGCAGTTCGAGGTTGGCCTGGTTGAGCGTGCCGGGCTGCTTGTCCGCCAGCACGTCCAGAGAGCGGCAGCGCCCGCGCTCCGCCACCACCAGCGCCTCGGGGTGACGGCCCAGCTCTGGTAATAATGTCATGTTATATAGTTATCCATCATTGTCACTAATGTTCTTGCCAATATATTTCATAGTTTCTACTTCTTGCGGTGAAATGATTTGCGCTTTACGATGGCTGTTAGATCGAAAATTTGTTGCAGTAATCTAATTTAATTACCCAAAGCTCTTAGATACAGTATGGCATTCGGTTCTAAGTGGGAATCAAATCTATTTTTCCACACTAACCGACAAGTACGCGCTGCAGCGCGTGGTGCGTGGAGGTGTAGAGCGGCGCGGCGGTGCGGTCGCGGTGGCGGGAGCCGGCCTCCAGCCCCGCCAGCGCCGCCGCCAGCTGCTCGCGCGCCTCCTCCAGCTCGCCCGACGCCCACAGCGCGAAACCCAGGCGATGACGGACTTTCGCCTGACAAATTAAAATTCCTGCCTGATATTTCTTCTTGTGACTTAGAATAGGAGGGGGAAAAGAATCTGTCTAAGACTTTACCTCTTCATCAGCATCTGATAATCCTTCTGTAGCTGCTAATGCCTGTCTCAAATAAGACACGGCGCTGCCACACGCGCCCATCGCTAAATGGGATCTCCCTAAATCGGCTAACGCGTTCGCACGTCCTCTTGTGTCTCCTGTACAAATGTGAATACATTGTTAATTTTGACAATAGATGGTGGTGATTAGGTTATTATATACGCATTGAAAGTATTCTCACCAGCAGCTGTGGCGTGACGCAGACGTGATTCATGCCATCGCGCGGCTTCTGCATGTGCGCCCAATGACGCATGTGCTGTGCCCAATCCGCCACAAGCACGCGCCTAGAATCAGCGATATTTTAAAGACGTTAAAAATTTTAATCTCTATTAAAATCTATACTTACATTGTAAAGACGAAAGATTTTTTTGAAGTGTATTTGATTCACGAAAAAACTACAGGGGCGATATTAAAAATTTCACCATTAAAAAAGTTTTTTTTTATTCCACGCAGACGCAATAGCGGGCAAAAGCTAGTAACGTTATATAATTGGCCTTCCTTTATTTTTAGGCTTTCTAAAAAAGGATTAAAAGCTTGCTTATACAGGATAAATTTTGATTTATCCGTGAAGTAAATAGTGGATAGTAGAAATAGAAGACGAAGGCGAACCTGTAGATGTGTAAGTCCGAGGCGGTGCGCGAGCTCGAGCTCCGCGCGGTGATGGCGCACAGCGGCTGCGTGCTCGCCGCGCGCCTGCTGCGCCACGCCCAGCGCGTGCCACGCCTCCGCCTCCATTATCTGGTTGTTCAGCTCCCTGTGTACACCATACATATGAAGTTAACGTCCCTTGATAACTATCGTACTACTAATACTTTTTGTCCTATGTCGCTATATCCTGGGCTCTGCTTTTTGTTTTGGGTCATTACAGCTCGATTGCCTTCAAGTCGGCCGCCACTGAACGTCGCTAAGTTTGTTCAGGGCGGCCAAGCTTTCTTGTTCCTTGTGGGATCCACTTCAGGGCCTCCCTGGGAATGTGACTGGGATCCCAGCAAAGCTAACTATCGTACAGTGATGAAACATTTCTGTGTACCGTACGTGTGATTATGTTAAGAAGGCATCACAATTTTATTGTTATAAGCGTAAATCTCTCATACAAAATTTTCTCTGGGGGATTCTCTTAGTGACCATATAGCGTCTTTATACGGTTGTATTGCTCTGAGTTGAAATTTGAATAGTAGTGGAGAAATGCACTGACTTGGCGATATTCTTCTGGTGCTCGAGGCAGGAGAGGGCCTGGTCGAGGTTGCCTAGCGCGATGTGCAGCGCGCCCAGCTCGCCGTACGCCTGCGCCTTCGCGTCCGCCGCGCCCAGCTCGTGCGACACCACCAGCCGCTTCTCCAGGCACACCAGCGCCTGCTGCAGGTTGCCCACGGATCTGAAACGTACAAATCAATACAGATTTAGAATTTCATGTTGGCCTGTATAAGATGTGGTATATAATTAAACTAACTACTGATATTTGCTTTTACAAATGTAATTGGAGACAAATAAAATCAATGATTGGTCTTACTTATGGCTGAGGCCCAGTCCGCGGTAGGCACGCTCCTGTTCTCTTGCATTGTCCAGCTTGAGTGCAGCTGCGAGGTGCTGCTCGTGGTACTTGAGGGCCTCGTCGGGGTCGGCGAGCGCGTCGTAGCAGTCGCCCAGCGAGCCCAGCGCGCGCGCCTTGTCCACTTGACAGGTCGGACTGTTCACGCGCTCCAGGATAGCAAGTTGCTAGACACAAATGCATTTTGTTAATATAAATTGTAAACCGTTGTCAGTGTATGTGTTAAATATTTTTTTTTAAATATAATTTTTCATTTAGGTATTCAATATAGACGCTTACAATTTGTTAAACCACTTTTTTTCAGGGCAATCATAATTAATTCGTCAGTAGGCATCACATTGTTGTTTAATAACCACATTCCTTAAGCATCAGTGTTTATTTTATTTTGGAAATAACAAGGTTAGCTGAATATTGGGATAATCATAGAATTACAAGCATAACTTGAATAAAATGTTTACCTGTTCTAAATATCCGATAGCATCTTCGTAATGTCCCATATTGAGCTTGGCGATGCCGAGATTGCCGTACGCCTGCGCCTCCAGAGCGCAATCTTGTAACTCTTGTGCTCGCTCAAGTTGCTCCTGTAGATTCAAATATTATTTATTTTGAGGAATCATTTTGACTGTCCTTTTCAGTGTAGCAGAAGTTACGAGTCTTTCCTGCTTTTAAACGCAGGGCTTTTTTGTTTCATTAGTGTTAACTGACCCTATAACACCTAGCGGCGTGTGAGTAGTGGCCGAGCGCCATGTGCACGGCGCCGAGGTGCGAGTGCGCCCGCGCCTCGCCCGCCGCGTCGCCCGCCTCCTGACGCAGCGTCAACTCCTAAAACAAAAATCGTCAATTTCAACTAGCAAATGTGTACAAACAGTACTGCTATCTTTGTTTTCCTTTTAGAAACTGAGAGGGATAGGGGTAGAGAGATAGATATAAAAATTGTAATGTTGAATAGACGCTAAAGCTTATACTAGATCGATCTGAAGGACAAAAACTTGGTACACCAACTCTGCGTGAGGGGGATGTACACAGTGCTGATGTAAGAAACCATTATAAAATCAATTTTTGCAATCGCATTCTTCTTACCTGAGTATGATGTCCTAGAGCTGCGTCCAATCTTCTTTGCAGTCGTCGCGCGAGACCCAATGCTCCGCAGGCCGCTGCCTCTAGAGATCGGTCCCGAGCCTGAAGCGTAAGAAAAAGTTGCATAAATCTGATTTATAACCGTACAATATTTAAATATAAGCCAAATTTAATGGGGTAAAGTAGAGAATGAATAGACAAAAAAGTTAATTCAGATAAAACAAAAAAAAATCTTCTTACCTCTCTAGCGAATCTCAACTGGCGTTGATACATCTTCACTGCTTCTTCGACATCTCCCATCTTAATGAGCACATCGCCAATATTACCGAGCGCTCTGAACTTGCCTTGCAGATGCTGCGTCATGTGCGCTATCGCTAAGAAATACTTCTGGCATTCTAATGCCGTCTCCAAATTGCCCAGTGCCAAATGTGCGAGACCAAGGTTGCAATACGCTCTGCCCATGTTCATTTTGTCTTGTAAATCTTTAGCCAGGGATAAATCTTGATCATAGTACCTTCGGAAATAAGATAATGTATGGTTTACAGTGGCACGCTTTTAAAAACTCTCTCCATGTTAAAACAAGAGAAACCTGGCATTAATGCGATACTCAGAGATATTTAATGGATAACAAGGCACTGTTTACGCTGCGCTTAATGACGTGTGGCAATAAGTGCGTTGTTGATGTCAGGAAAAAAGAAACATGTTCCGTGTTGCACCTACCTGACAGCTTCTCTATAATTGCCCAAGCAGTAATGAGCATATCCTAAGAAATGACAGGCTTTAGCCTCTGCGGTGACGTCACCGAGCTCCTGTGACAGCATGAGATGCTGCTCGTAGTACGGCACGGCTTGAGCGAACTCCCCGCGCGAGGACAAGCAGTTGCCCAAGTTGAGGAGCGCGCACGCCTCGCCTGCCGCGTCTTTTAGTTCACGAGCAATGCCTGTAACGTTAATTAATAGCTCCTGTTAAATATAATTTAAAAACTTCTAGTATTGAACACTTTGTTTTGTTAGACAAACATTTTTATTATGGGAGTTGATGATTTGCAATTTTAGTTGCATTTTTCTTAGGTGCTACAAGTCTTTTAAGTGTCATTTGTATCGTACTGTTGTGTAGATTTTTCTTCAAAACGAATTACCATTTAAAAATCTTCTAGTGGTGTGAATGAAGCAATATTTACTGCTCAGCTGTTTTTTAACAGTATTTTTACCAGTATTTCTTACTGGTGGATGGCTACAAAGGAAGAGGAAGACAGAAGAAAGTATGGATGGATTGTATGAAAGAGGATATGCTTAAGAAAGTAGTGAATTCAGATATGCCGGCTGATAGAGATGTATGGAAGAGCAGCACATACTGTGCCGACACTCCATAAGGGATAAGGGCAAGTTGATGATGACGATTTACCAGTATTTCCTACCTAAATGTGCTCTATAATGGAATAATGCCATATCGTGTGCGCCGAGCGCTTGGTATGCGACGGCGAGGTTGCCGTGTGTGGACGCCTCCGAGCTGCGGTCATGCACCTCCTTAGAGATGGTCAGCTCCTGCTTATGGTATTTGATGGCCTGCTCGTAGAAGCCCGCCGCGGAGTACGCGTTGCCGATATTACCGTACGCACGACCCATTCCTGCTTTATCCTGCAAAGATTTTATTGTATGACTTAGTTGCACACAGAGATTCATTTAAAAATTACATCTTTTCAGTGTGTATGATGCACACCTGAAACTAAACTATCGCACAACTGTTTAGTCTTGCTTTGATTCTGATAAGCTTATATGGAGATGCGCACACTACTCGATTTTTCGTAATGCAACTAAACAGTTCAACTGGCTGCGAAGAAATCGACAATCGCACAACAGTTGTGCGATAGTTTAGTCAAAAGTGTACGCTCTAAAAGTAAAAAATAGGCAAAATCTTTCAAAGTATAGTTAACTATATATGTTTACCTGCAATTGTCTTGCAATGGACAGATGCGCTTGGTGCAGTTTGAGAGCCGCATCATGCTCCCCCAGCAACTGGTAGACTATGCCCAAATTGGAACAAGCTCGTCCCTCGCCGACCTATAATTACATGCATTAAAAATCTATATAAAATCTAAGCTCTAAATGTGCGAATAGAATTAAAAATTGTAAATATGTATTTTTACAAAAATGAAACATTAATTAATTACTTGTATGAAATTATGACTTACCTTGTCTCTAGCTGCTAATGCGACATCCAGTTGTCTCTCGTGCCATTTCTTTGCTTGCGCGTAATCACCGGCACATCTGTGAATGAAATGAAAGTTGTTTTTTTTTTTTTTTATAGTAAAAAGGGGGCAAACGAGCGGCGTGTACACCAAGGTGGTCAACGACGCCCATGGACATCCGCAACACCAGAGGAACTACAGTTGTATTAACAACATCATTTTTTACTTGATATTTAAGTAAAATTTATTTGAGACATGCCCTAGATGTGTACAATCCAAAAAACAAACAAACTCGTACTACATATTGGATATTTAAAAAGTTCCGCATCCACGATGGTCGGTATTAATGAGAGGTGACATTGGTCATTTTTAAAGCATATTCGATAAGAACGGACGTGTGTCCACGTCAATTAAAATACCTTGCTGCATGTCCTAATCCAGCGTAAGCTCTAGCTTCTATAGCTCGATCACCGAGATTCTGTGCTATTCGTAAAACATTTTCATGATATGCGATCGCTTGAGAAAAGTTGCGTCTGTAGTGATATGATGATCCTAGATTTGAATACGCTCTCGCTTCTTCCACCTGAAAATAGGTAAAATGTAATTTAGTAGCACAAGAAACTTTATTTAACCTGTCTACTCTAATTGAAAGACATAATAGTTTAGTTTTACTAGCACAAGAGTAGTAAATAAATAGCTAGAACAAGGGATAAGATTTCAAGGAATGGACATTTTCTCTAATTGGTTCCATTTGCATAATGTGTATAGATTGGCGAGTTCGATTAAGAGTTACAATTAAATCCCATGCTGAGGCAGATTAGACAAGGGCTGACAACTACGGGCCTATAAAAGGTTATTGCGCTTTCTTCTTCAACGACTAGTTAAAGGTTAAACTACCGTTCGTTTAATTGCCATTTTTATGAAAACTTTAGTTGGTAGACTTAATTAAGTGTAACACTAAACAATAACGTAGATTTGTTTTTGAATTTCATGAGTATGGATCATAAGAAAAAACTACTAGGTAAAAAATCGTGATAACTTTTTTGTTCGATTTTATTTGTGCAGAGAGTCCTTACTTCTAACAACTTTTATGTTAATCGTGAAGAATTTTAGCAGCAGTTACACTGTATTTGTTTCATTTTTATCAAATTTTTTTCTATCTAAATTAAGATAAATGGCTCCATAGATTTATCAATCTATAAGTATATTCAATAGTAGGTAAAGTGTAACTAACCTGGTCTCCGAGTCGCCTGGCCAATCTTAGATGCTGCGTATGACAATCCACAGCCGAGTCGAACTCTCCCATGGCGAGGTACACGGCGCCTACATTTCCAATCTCCCTTGCCTCTTGAAGTCTATCGCCCATTTGCTTCACCAGTTGTACGCACTGTTTGTGGCTGGCTAGCGCGTTTGGGTAGTCTCCTATTGCAGTGTAAACGTGCCCTAACGAGGTGAGCGCTGCTGCAGCGGCTTGTGTGTCCTGTAAGAAGAATAAGTTGATTTGTTATTGATGTTGGTTTCGCTTTACGTACCACTCAACAATAATAATAATGTACACACACACACACACACACACACACACACACACACACACACACACACACGGCACACGGGCTGATAGCGAAGAGCTTCGACCAACACCTCAAGAAGCTCTCGCTAGACAGTTGGATTAAGGGCCCGATTCAAAAGGCGGTTATTTTAGAAACCGCACGAATAGTGAGGAGGTTCTTGTCTCTGCAGCCCTGACCACTGGTTGCTTGAGTCATCGGATTCCGCAGCCGGTGGACTTCTATTTTTTTATATAATGTTTTATTTTGTTATTTTTTTTAAGAAAATCATGTGAAATATATTATATATAAAAATAAGAAAATAAAGATATGAGTTATAATAATAATGTAAAGTACTAGAATAATTATCCGGTAGTTATTTTAACTGCAACTTTCTTCGAAAATATTATCATAGACATGTTTAGTTTAGGGTTGATTTAAGAAGTGTAGATTTATAGAGGTATGGAGAGGTTTTTAAAAACATTTCAGTTTTCTTTGGAACAAGAGTAGCAAGTCTTGTTTTCATTTTTCTTTTTTTGGAAACGGCTACATTTTAAAACATCTCATAGACACATCTGTTTTGACCACTTAAAGAAGACTAATTTTTTATTACCGCCTCGGGGACCACCGCAAGGCTATACAGTAAATCCTCAAAGGACGTTTACGCTGCACTCATCGAAAAAGCCCCTTTTTATTGCTTCATGAGATAACACCAAGATTTGTGTTCAGACATCTTGAATAGGTAATTTATTTCTTCCCTTATCAATTTTTTTACTTGTCTAAATAGGGGGTGCGAATGATAAAAATTATTCACTTTTTAGTATCGATTTGTGATATATTAGATATTGTAAGTATTAACTATGTCAAATATATTCCATTAAAATAATTGTTAGAAATTAAATACGAATATGTTTGAATTATGCAGTTTTAAAAGGTTAACTTAACGCCTATTAAATTGTGTCACATGCATTGTTTTGTTTTTTATATTTGTCTTTAAATTTATAGATGAATTAAGAGTAACATACTAATTATCTATTACTTATGTTGGCTTTTTAACTATTTTTGATGTATTCTGTATTCTTAAAAGTTATTTGTAAATCTGTGCTCATGCACTGGAGGTCATTTGTTGAAATATCTAACACTTAGTTACCTTTACTAAATTAGAGTAGTCTAATGATAAAAAAAAATAATAGAACGCGTCGCATCCCTTTTATTAAGGTAGTGGTTGACAAAAAAACACCACCCGACTAGTGAAGTCTGTATGTTGAGTTGGATATCGATATTGTTAAAACTACACGATGTTTGTTTTCATAATGGTAAAGTAAAAAAATGAAAATTCTTAGTCCTCATTCAGTACATAATGCAACAATAGATATAGGTATACTATTTTTAATTAACACTTCGCTCTGTATAAAATCTCAATTCAGTCTTAGTAACGGTCGAGCGATTTCAAATTACTAACGACCAGTATTGTCGATATAATCGTGAACTAAATGCCAGTTAAAAGGGCCAGCACTAAAGTTCACTCGGCCGCCACAATCTACCTAATTAAGTATGTGCAACATGATACGATAACGCTTTGATTTACATATACATTCTGTCTACTTACGACGTTTTTCGTCTACCTGCTCTACCCCATTCTCACTTACGGTACCGAATAGCTTTTATCTTTGAATATAGAGAAACGGACAAGTCATAGGCGGCCGTTGCACTAAATTTTGTCACTTTTCGCCGGAGGTTAATGTAACATTTACGCATATTGAAACGTCATTACACCCTAATTTAATTTACATACAAAAGTGTTTAAGAAGATAGTAGAGAATGCGCTTGACAGGTCCTGTTCTTAAAAGTCAAAGGCTTTTACATACGACCCGGTGAAATGTTCTCTGATAAGATAATTAATATTGATGACATTTTAAAAAGACAACTTACGTGAATAGAAAATGAATTTGGGTAATTTAAGGGAATTTGATGTCATTAGTTCTTTTGTTTTATTTAAGGTTTTTGTTTATTTTGGAAGCTATTGTGTATTTAGAAATGTTAGAAGGAATTAAAAAAAATGTCACTAAAATAATATTAACTATTATTTGTTAATATGATTAATTTTAAAAAGTTACGATCAAACTACTTTTTTTGCTTCCTTATAGGTTTTATCATGCCTTTTATAAATACGGTACACTTGTACACTAACAGCACTACAAATAAACGCGGTATTAAGTTAAACTTGGGAATAAACTGAGTATAAGCAAAATTTGTACTAATATTTGTAAAAGTGTGGGATAAAAAGAACTGCTTAGCTCAATTCGATCTAGAAACGGTTCAAAAGTAAAACAACTATAACGTAATTCAGGATACGTGGGAGTAATCCAGCAAAGATTTTAAACGTCGTTTTCCAATCAGGATGTAATATAAAGATAGAGTTAATGACCAGTATTAGCTGTTCAAGACCGTCAGAACTCCTGCGTTCATTAATAAACTTCGATACTTGCGACTGGGTGGTACGAATATATTCAATTTAACGCCAACTTGGAATTCGAGATACATGAATATGCATTTTTTACGATGCCTCCGTTTTGCAAGAATGTGTATGCTATTTGAGTATGTTTTACTTTTTTGTTTTGTTCAACATGCTATTAATAAACAAGGTAAAATGATATCGACTTTTATAGATAACTAATTGTGCTTGAGCGTGAGTTTTTGAGTTGTATTCAGCGGGGTGCGTATTTCTTACTTAAATTACTGGTTGTGGTAACTTGGGATTATTCTAAGAATTGTATTTAACTAGCTTTGGTATTTTGTTTCTCATGCTCAATGAAGTCTTGTTTGTTCTTGAAATATTTGATATTTAAATGACGTCTTTTTTTAAACAAAACATGTTTTGAAGAGATTGTCTATTTATATAGACAATTTCTTCAAAACATGTTTTGTTTAATAAACTTTATAGTTTGCTTGACCGAGTAATAATACTAAAGTGCATTTAATTTTAAAAATATGTGTAACAACCGTTATTTTATGAAATCTAGTGAATTATCCGTTTTTTATCTTTAGATTAGAAATGTTTAACATTTACTTAGCAAGAACAATCCATTTACGATGACAAGCGTTACAAAATGCAACCAGCCACAAATGGAATATTCTGGAATTATTCTAGGCGTGTACTAATGAAGCCGGGAGTTAGAACTACATGTTAATGTCAAATTGTTCACGCTACATTATCTGGACAGTGGATCGAGATGAACAACGGTTACGTCATTAGTTTACAAATTCTATGTTCTAAAATTGTTATTCTAGGTTATAAAATTGATTGTATAGAAAGACCAAAGTTGAATGCAAGTATTTGGTAACCCAGAAATAAATTATATAATTGTAGTGGAATCAAGGAGGTCTTAATGTATTAGATACTTCTAAAACCATACTGTAAGTCGGATCATAATTAATCAAATGTAAAAAAAATACGAATTAGGTAATTTTAATCTTTATTTTTACTATATATAGTTCTTTTTTTCTATTTAGAGGAAGTGATAGCACTCATTAATGAAAAAACAAACTATATACATATATTAGACGAGATATCTTGATACGAGACCTCAATATGATTGTAAGTAGTACACAAGACAAGCTAATTTATGATCTCTGACAGTGTAATTATGATTTATATTACCTTTCCAGCGGACTGGTTCTAGCGATCATGTTAGATAGGTAGATGAATGAATTAAATGTGTATACCAGTACGTATGTTGTAGAAGGAAAATAGTTGCAAGAAGATACTTTTGTTGCAACTTCTTCTTCTTCTGAGGCACTACAGCCGCGTGTGGGCCTGGGCCTGGTCCAGTAAACTTCTCCACTTCTGTCTATTTTGGGCCTTTTGCTTCCAGCCCTTGACGCCGATGTTCTTAAGATCGCGTTCGACTTCGTCTAGCCATCTAAGTTTCGGCCTACCACGCGCTCTACGTCCATCCGGCTTATTTTCCAACAGGCGTTTGTTGCAACTGCCTTTGTTAAATTCTAACTACGAAGAAGAAGCTCACTTACTAAAGAGGAGTACAACTTGACCGTTTTAATTTCAATGCACTTCGTTTTTACCACATCTATAGTAATGTTAATCATACTAGTCATACTAATATTTTAAATATGAAAGTTTAGATGGATGGATGGATGTTTGTTAGTCTAAACTGCTGAACGGATCTCAATGAAATTTGACACCGATGTAGAAGATAGTCTGGAAGAACATAAAAGCTACTTGGTTTTGTTTTTTTTAATAACAAGCGGACGGAGTCGAGGGCGAAAGCTAGTAATATTATAAAATGCGGAAGTTTAAATGGTTGGATGGATGTTTTTTAGAGTTTGTAGCCTAAAAAGCTGAACGGATCTAGATAAATTTTGACATAGATGTAGAGGATAGTCTGGAAATACGCACAGTCTACACTTTTGTTATTTCTGTGTTTTATTATTATTTCCACCTGGATGGAGTCGCGGGCGAAAGCTAGTTATTTGTAATTACAATAATTAACAATATTGGAATCCGCATTATAAAAACAATAATCGTAAGTCTTACGTAATGCTATCCAGTATAAAATCCACATACGCTATTAGTAACTATGGAAACCGGTCAGGAATCAATAAGTAAAAAACTATTCTATTTACATCTGATATATTATTAATACGTTTTTAATCTATTCAAGCTCGCATAAGCTCGCTGCTTACTAACTTTAGCATGTCATTAATGTCCGATAAATTCCCGCATCTTTTATTATAGGTAAAATATTGGTGTTTAGTTTATGTTACTGGCAAATCGTGTACGTCGCCCGTTTGGAAATTGCCTTAAAACAGAATCACAGCTAATGTCACCTACATTAGCTGTGATTCTGTGGAGTTAATAAAGAGTTGCGGACTTCCGGGCGCTGAAACTAATGGTTATATGTATGAAAAATGTTTGCGTTTACCGAAATATTATAAATTTATAAGGCGTCATATTGTCAAAGAATTTGGAGTCTTAACTAGTATGTTGGGAAAATTGGAAACGAGCGGAGTTTACGCTTTTCCGGTGACATCTCGGAGGTAACATCATGCGGTGTAAAGCGATCTGTGGCGCCTTAACTTTGCTTCGACTTACTTTGATATATCGATTCACCTTTTGAATACATTACACCAATAATTTACCGGTTGCACGTCCTTTAATGTACGTAATTATATCGAGGTGTAATAAATCTATGTTATCTACATTAACACCGATGTAATTACGAGATAGACTTAGAAGCCATCCTGCGCCAGTATGGACTATAATCTTTAATACAGGGTGTTCATAAATTATTAATGCAATTTCTTTTTTCATAACACTCAATAGGCAAAGATAAAATTTAACTCGCAGTCAAAGCGGTAGTAGAAATATATGGACATTTTTAGTGATATTCCACTTGTCAAATCATTGTTACCTATGTTTTTTTCAAAGAAATCATTTTTATACAAGTCTTCCGTGATATTCTCAGATTTTAAGAAAGTAAATATATGGATCCGTATCATAGAAATGCGGATTAAAACCGGAGGCGGATTTCCTTTATAAAAAGCTATACATTCCTGGTACTAGATCGCGAAACGAAGTGATTACTGAGTCGAGTTCTCACATTACAGGCTACGGGCGAATTCCGCCGCCATTTCGCGGTTATTTCAAAACGACCACCGAGTTTTTGTTACCCGCCGTTCGTCCGTAACAACCAAAGTAAATAATTTTTACGACTATTTGTTTGTTCGATTGTTTTGTCGTGTTGGTGCTCGCGTTTTAACTTGCACACTATTTGTTTATTTTATTTTTTATGACATTCAGTTGTACGATCGTGTTTGCCGGCAGAAATATTTGAAAGGTTTAAAAGGACTATTGGTTGATGAATGAAATGTTGAATTAAAATACAAACAACGCCCGACAAACGCTTTAAAAAACAACTGAAGTATAATAACAATTTGAATTCAACATCGTTAAAATAAGCGTAATACGCGATCAAGATAAAACGAGCCGGTGATCGTGCGTTAAGCAGACTGCAGTAAAAGCAGCAAGTAAATGTTGCCGCACTAACACATTAGCATAATGTGTCAGTCGGTTAACTTTGAGACCTAAAGTGTTGCTTTACTTTGGCATTTTAGTTGTACGCTACATATTTCACACGAGGGCACAGAAACGCAGAGCAGTAGACAGCCCTGTGCTGCTGTTCATCCTCGCTGCAAAGGTACTTTATTGTCTATTGCTCTGCCATATTGATCCGCCTTCGTGTAAACGTAGCATAAAGATAGAGAGGGGTAAAGTATTACGATTGCGACAACCTTTTTACGTGTAAAAGCGATCTTCTATTCAAGATAATTGCTTTGCGTGTATAAGAAACGGTGTTTACTCTGTCAAAGTTCACATACTTAAGTTTTCAGAGTTCAACATGGCAGTACAGCTGATTTCACTCACAGTGATGTCACATCATGTTTTATGATACAAATATTTGTGGTTAATGTGCTCAGTGTGCACACAGCCTTATTGTACATCTACGTTCCATGATAATATAAGAAACATTGCAAACAAATCTGCTAAGACCATTAAACGGCCACGAATATTCAGGATGCCTAAAAACGTGCTGGGAACTCTCGTTGCACGGCTACAGACGTAAGGAATTATTTTTAATGTGTAAACGTGAGGTGCAGCATGTTTATTTGCGAACGTCTGGCGAACTAAAAAGAACATGAACAAAGAATTTTGGGTTCTTTTGTATGCGCTGAAATTAAGTTATCTGATTAAAGCCACCACACGACTTACTTTTTCAGAAAAAGTTCCTTATTTTTTTAATATTTTAACATGGTTTACAAATTGCAACTTATTTTAGCCAGTTTTTATTTTACATTGAGTAATTTACAAATAGTAAACTTTTAAGACGAAGGGCCCTAGTTAGAGCTTAAAGTTCACTTAAAATAACCATTTTTAGAATATACTCAAAAGCATTCTGAGCCGATATACTTTTGTATTTATAACAATATTTATCCTGCATAGTTATTTTAAACTAGTCACTAAAGAAATCTCATAGTATGATAACTTTAAAACAAATTAGTATCATTTAACTTAATTTTTGGCATCCAATTGCATTTACATCAGCTACAAAGACAAGAAATCTGTGTAAACTGTTTTTTATTATTTTATATTATTTTTCCAACAAAAAGCTGTTCAATCGAAAAGACTGTATTAACAAATTTACTCCCTCTGACAACTTTGTTGATCTTAACCAGTATGAATACAGGTTCAGAGCAATGTGCAAACTAGTAAGTAATATTTCACACGTGGGCGGCGCAGGCCTGTCCACAATGGTTGGTGCGGACAATGACAATTTCAGTCAAGGTAAACGACGCTGAATGTCACTTTGATTTTCAATTGTTTATAATTAATGTGTTCCTAATATTGCATAGACTTGTCTCTACGGTGGCGATGATCAAAAAGTTGTGTGTTTTAGTTTATTTATCGTTAGTTATTCAACTAAATCGTACGAATATAATTAACCTTCTAAAATTAGCTATCTATTGAATACATTAACAGGATTGCTGTTATTTATAAATATTAAAAAGCGGTGACAAATGCGCCTTTGTTCTTTTTATTCTACATAGATGTATAAAAAAAATTGAGAGATTTTTTTAAATAACTAGCTTTTGCCCGCGACTCCGTCTGCGTGGAATTAAAAAAACAAACGCAAGTCAACGCTAGCCTATGTGTTCTTACAGACTATGTTCCACATCTTTGCCAAATGTCATCCAGCTCCGTTCAGCTGTTTAGGCTACAAACTTTAACAAACATCCATCTATCAAACTTTCGTATTTATAATATTAGGAAGTATTTCAGTATAAGAAAATGTTCCATAAATCCTTATTTCTAGTCGTGAGTTATAAATCATCGTCACAATCATAACAAACAATAAATCATTGATAGTAACCAATTAACAGTATCTGTGTACTGCAACAATTCCATATCCCGTTTTGCCGTCTAAGTAAAAACTTTTGATAAAACTAATTGCGAATTCTCCACAATCTTACTTTACTAGTTCTAAAGAAAGCTGTGTATAGGATAATACGCGTAACGGAATAACAAGTATATTTGAATTATTAATTTTATTCATAATCGGTTTTACGATGTACGACGATTTTGAACATTTTATCCTATACGATGAAGTCATCAGAATAAAAGTAACAAATAAGAAAACATTTAAGATTTTAACGTGTGCTAAATCGTTGCTTTATCCCAATATGTTAATTACGATATCGTCCAGTATGAGTAGCTGCATGAGGAAAATATCATCACGCAATTATAAGAACAAATTATCTCAGTTATCCAAAACACTACAATTAAAATACAAAACTATAACAAACCTTGCATTTCATAGCCAACACAAGTTGGTACCTATGCGCAGTCAACGCGTCCTTGTATGACCCTTGGCTGAAGTAAGCCGCGCCCAAGTTGCCGTGCGCGCGGCACTCGCCTGCTGTATCTCCTAGGGATTTAGCAACAGCCAGGTCTTGTTGCATGTAGTTGATAGCGGCGTCTAATTGACTGAGCGCCCAATGAGCTGATGATAACGCGCTGAATACTGAACCCCTGCGAACAGAACATTTTATGTATTTGTATTTTTGGAAATACGAACATCGTATGACATTGATATCGAGATAAGTCAATATGAACCATTCGCTAGAGTAGAACCTGTATTGAGAAAGTAACCTCGATTACGTTCAATTTTAACAAAAAAATCTGCATCTATTCGTATATCTTAGTTAGTCTAGACTCATTCATACCACGTCAACACGTTTGTCTCACAAAGTAAGAGACAATGCACAAATTTTTGACTGCGAGATGAAAAAGACAAACAACAAAGGGACCGCCCGCGGCTTCCAGCGAGGCCGGTTCTCGTAAAGCGATTAAAGGGCGATGATAAATATTTTAATTCGAGTGCCAGCTAATGAATCACTTCGTGAAGTAATTTGAAATATCACTCCACACGTTCGCAATGAAATTACATATTTTATGAATGCACTAGCTTTCGCCAACGACTCCGTCCACGTGGAATTAAATAAAAACAAAACTAAGTAGCTTTTGTGTTCTTTCAGACTTCCATACCAAATTTCATCGAAATTCGTACAGCCGTTTAGGCTACAAACTCTAACAAACATCCAGCCATCCATCTAAACTTTCGCATTTATAATGTTAGTATGTAGTATGATTGGTATGATTATTTAAACTTACGATAAACAAGTACTCAATAGTAAAATTTTCATGATTACTTAAAGGATTGCTACGAAACCACTGAACAATAAATATGACGATTTCGCAATCAAACAACGTCAATTAACTGTTATCTGCAGTCTATACTTTACTTTTACTACAATAGTAATATAGTTATCTGATGTTTTGTACGTTAAAGAGATTTTATCAATTCAATAGCGTCCCATACCCATACCGAATTGATACCTCGCCTAGCTTCTCAGTTTCACTTATCTGTGTTACTTCTTTTATTGTTTGTCGTCAGTCAATTGTTATCTACGTAGATAACAATCGAAAAAATAAATGTCCTTTAAATGTGTTCTCCACAGGGGCGGATTAGGGATGTGCTGGTACTGCTCGATTACGTTATTATCGATAAATTTCGGAAACATCTGATTAAAATAAAGTTAATATTATCTTCTAGATCGTTTCCATTAAAATTAAACTTATCGATGCAAAGGATTAACTACATTTCCTTTAAAACGTTTAAAAAATAACAACCGTCGTTTAATCTCCAATCAATATTCGATAAATTGCCTAGAAAAAATACCTTCAATAATTAATGAATAATCAAAAACAAGAATTAAGTCCATTAGATATGTGTTGCGTTAAATATATTATCGATAACTTGCACATCCCTAAGAAAAATCGGTTACGTATCGATACGGTTTCAATCCATCAAAGGGCGATAAGATCGGATCGAGGTGTGGGTTTCACGCGGGCCCTTATTCGCTGGTCACCGCGGCGACAATTTTGGGACCCGTCGAAGTGTTTAATGCGCTAAGTGGGCGCGTATTTAAATGGACCCCATTGTACGGGGCTGTATTAAGGCATTCAATAATGTTGCCGTCGTGTTCACTTTGTATTTTAATTATTTAAGTCTTCGCTTAAGAGTTAAATAAGCGATACGGGATCAGAAAGAAAACAAATGAACTCGAACCTTAATTAAATAAGACTTTATTATAATTGTACTATTTATCAATTTATTTATTATTACTCTGTGCGTAAGGCTAAAACAATGTTCATATAAAATGGTACATAAGGACCATAAATGTTACAAGCTATTCCTATCCGGCCAAATATTCAACCCTTTATCAGTTTAGCTGCTTTATGAGGCTATTAGGAGCACCGTTAATGACCTCACAGTTTCATTGGTTAGCGCCTCGCGGCCTATAATATCTTATTAAGTTAGCGATCAATGGAAAGGCCTATAAAATTTGAGATAACATTAAGTCCAACGAATTCTCGCACAAACAGCTTTTGCTTGTATTTTCAGCTTAGTATTCTCGTTTAAGTCTAGATTTACAGTGCCATTGATGCAACTGTAACCTCTAAAGGTTAAGTTACGATGAAGTTAAAATTTTAAATTAAGATTTATAATAAGAGATTTCAATTAGTTAATAGTTACTGAAATTTGAACTTGTAACTACGATGTAAATATCTTATATATATAAAAGAAAGTGGTGTTAGTTTCGCTATTTATAACTCAAGAACGGTTTTACCGATATGGCTGAAAATTGGTAAGGAGGTAGCTTAGAGTCAGGAGACCGGACATACTTATACCGTTAAAGAATGGATGTTTCTCTCTCTCGATGAAATTTGGCATATATGTAGGGCATAGTCTGGAATAATACAAAGGCCATTTGCTTTTGTTTTTTTTTTTAAAGTCCACGCGGAAAGAGTCGCAGGCGAACGCTAGGTTTATATATTTTCGGTAATATCTGTAATTTTAGTATAACTAAGTATTTAGTTGTTATTAAATTTATTCATTGAAAATCGAATGAATTGCATCAAAGTTTAATTATCACCTGTTAGCACACAAAAAGCTCCTTGTAAGGAACTGCCATAAAGCTCCGATAATTGATGACTTAATTATGTTGATTTATATTCGAATACAGCGCGCTATTCTGTATTTAATACTTTACATTTCGATTCACACTTTGGATCGTGCGCGAAAAGCCAGGGCTGCTTAATGTGTCGCAAATGCAGAAACAAATCAATATTTTAACATTAACTAATTACTTTACCGTTTTTACTGCGATATACAAGGTATTAGAATTTTAACCTTTACTAAATACGTAAAGTACAAAATTACTCGGTAAAGCTAGTAAGTAGCTTTTCATAAAAAAAACTTAATTATTTTTAATTTAAAACAGTAAGTTTGGTTTATCTGTAATGTAGTATGAGCTGTTGCTCGCAAATTCGCAAAAAAATATAATAAATATAGCCTACGTTATTCACAGATAAAAAACCTTTTTATTGGTAAAAATATTTTTAATCGGCCCAGTAGTTTTTGCGTGATTCAAATACATATAATAATCCAAAATCCATATCTTCCCTCTCTATAATATTAGTATAGATTTATATTAAAAAATTTTAGCTCACCTTTATAAACATACATATAATAAAATCCAAAAACATTTGAAAAAACACTTATTTGAAAAAAATCGTAGCTGTTTTGTAAACTAGAAGCCCTGTCCTAATAAGAGTAAGACAAACAGCTCCCAAGCAACGTTATCCAGCTTCATTAATGGCTTGGAGTTATTATTTTTAATCACCGCTCGTATGTAACGAGTTGACAGTGGAATAATTTATATGTACTTAAGGATACGGTTATCTTTGGCGGAATTTCGACGTTTTGATTTATATTAAGCCGAGTCGGGAATAAAGGCAGTACAGAGAGGAATATCCACCGTATCAATTTAATGAGCGTTGCAGATATATGAAAGAAATTTTATTGATAGAAATGCAATCTTTTAAATAAAGTAGTGACATCCCAGTATAATTTTATTTATTAATTTTAAATATAGGTTAGTTTTAGTGGCAATAGGTGTTGATACACTAACATTATAAAGAAGAAATATTTGTATTTTTGTATGTATTATAATAACACAAAAACTACTGGGCAGATTTTAAAAATTCTTTTACCGTTGGAATGGTAATCTTTGAGTAACATATTTTTTTTATAATTTTCGAATTTCACGCGGACGAAGTCGCGAGTAACAGCTAACGCATTTTTGAAGTAATCTTTAAAATTAAGATAAGTTAATTATTTAAATTACCTTAGTTTTAGGGAACATGACCCTATCCTGAGCGCCGCTTCCAGTACGGTCACCGCAGCCTGGTACTGTCCAGCGGCCAGCAGTTCTTGTCCCACCACCTGTGAAATATCTTTATTATTATACCATAATCTTATTATCCGTAAAATTGTAAAATAAATTGCATTTCATGTAAATAGAATTTTTACCACGGTTATATTAACCTTGCTGGTTTTAAAATATAATTTGAAATACTTAAAATAGTTCATGTAAAACCTTCTTCTTAGACATTTCGTGCACGTCTTGAAATGCAATTAAAAAACAATTCTTATCTTAAAGAATTCTATCTTATCCAATATAATTCTATTCAGAGTACATTTATGTAAATTTCAGTAATGTAAATTAATAGGGGAACACCTTTTCAAACAATTTAGTAGGATTTAAATAACAATAAACATTTTAAATTGAAATAATTGTCATTCGATTTACGATAATGATTTTCTCTTAGCAATTTCATTGATTATTTAGTAGTTATGATACGGTTTTTAAATTCTGAATTGATTAAAAAAGACGTAATATGTCGATATAAAATAAGATGATGAAACTTTTCACACTAATGTCACAAATATGCAACACAATTGTAGGTCTAATTTGGTCCTTCGAGTCAATCTTTCGTTATATATTATTTGTGCTTCAATAAGATGTCATTTTGTCCGTCCATCTCGTCTCTGTTATAATGAACTGAGATGAGAATTTGAGTATCATTCGCTAACGCAAAAAAAACTGCAACGAATTTTTAAGAACTCATCTTTCGATGCTTTGATCGACGCCGTGAAGCATTTAAAGAGATTTGGGCGTTTCTCTGTTTCAAGAAATGTGTTGGTAGATATATAGCTACATTTCTTTATGTATTTGGAACACCCATTGCGAGACATATATCGTAATAGGTTTATAAATGCTTTTTTCAGTTTTTTTTTTAAATAGATAGTATATAGATGGCCAGTTCGATCTCCTTAGGAGATAGTAAGTAAGATATTTGGTACTTACTATAAAAAGAAGTTGTACAAGTATTAATTCAAGAAATTCAAACCTTATTTGTTGAGAAAAATTTTGATATAATAAACAATATGGTTCTCGACTACCTTTTGAATGTAAAGATGTAACAATTCCTCAAATTATAAGTGTGTAACTGTTACAGTGAATAAGGGTCAATTTGTTTTACAATAATCCAAACATATTATTCAATTTAGCGTCTCGTTAATGTCGGCCAGTTTCTTTGTCTACGACGCCATGTCTACGTTGCCGATCAACTGTCCCGCAGATTGTATGTAAATGCGATGGGGGTTCGCGTATTTATGGCTCTTTGATCACTCAGTCCCATTGTCCGAACTAACTGCCGCCAAAAAATACCCAGACGTCGGACAGGGAGCGAGCGGCGTATGCAAATTCAACAGACCAGTGTAGGTCTTTTACGTTCTCGCATACCGAGATCCGATTAACATTTAAGGAACTTTATAGTATCGATTATTTTTTATATCGTTAATTGTTTAATACAAGTATGATATTTAAACTCTACCATACATAGTCATCTCTACTTATATGTACGATTATTATAATACTATTATTCTTTTTATTTATTTATACATGTAAAGGGAATTAGTCGAACGCGAATATATGTCCCCATAGGTCTATTAAACAAACATTCAAATTATTATGTTAAAAATATTCCATGAAAAATATAAAAATGCCGTCTCGCTTCCCCTAAAAAAATGTATTGGATGTCGTGTAAAATTAACTAGATTTTTCTATCTAGTCTATAATAAAGTCTTAGCAATTACACGGTACTATCATTTCGAAATAAAACTACTTACTATTTATCTAAACCAAAGCAAACCTCTTGAAAATGACGTATGTTAATTTGTAGATTAAATTTTAAAAAGATTTAAAACATGAATTTCTTTCTCCATAAAAGCTTCGAGTTTACTGTAGATTATGGTTAAACTAGCTTTCGCCTGCGACTCCATCCGCGTGCAATTAAAAAAAAACAAAAGTGAGTATATGTTCTTCTAGACTATTCTCTACATCTATACCAAATTTGATCGAAAACCGTGCAGCCGTTTAGGCTACAAACTTTAATAAACATCCATCGATCTAAACTTTCGCATTTATAATATTAATTAAGTATATGATATTTTAGACAATCTAATAAACATAATACAATGTTTGTTTAACATACAAGGTGTGTAACAATCATTATTTCGGTTATAAAGTACATTGCACTACGTACAGCGTCCGGAGTATTGGGTATCAGATACTCGGCTCTCAGGAAATCAGAAGCCGGCTGTTTAAATAACTTTAAATTCGACAGACTCGCGATCATTTCCTACCAATTTAAATAAATGAAGCGTATTTTTTTACATTTAATATGGAAGTAGTACTACATTACGTATTCAGATGTCATTATACAAAATTATACAATTTAAATGATATTTATGCTAAGTTATTTTATTAAATTACATAAATATATTTAATACCATGGACTCCGGTTGAATATTTCGACTATACCATTATCTGGTGTATAATATTTAAACAATTTAATTGCAGTAAATACGAAATAAAGAAAGGCAACAAATTTCACGCTTTAAAGTCTTGGTAAACCTTTACAATCTTTAATAATAATGGTCAAACAAATACCATAAATTCCGGATAATAATCATTAAATACTGTTTTTATGTCATTTGAGTTCATTGCATTGAAGAGTTCTAGATGGATCTTATCACTGCTTGTAAAATATATATTAATAACATGACTAGTCAACTTGTTCTATATTAAATAAGCAATTAAAACACAAACCTACCGAAATTAATACGAATGGCGATTGATCTAACTTCATAGCCTCCAGCTGCCTGAAGGTAGGTTCCAGTGTGACCCGCAGAGGGGATTTAAGGGAGGCTTCCACCAGTGCGGCGAGCAGCTGCCTTGATGTAGGCTCCACACCCAGTCCCGAGCTGAACGCGGCCAGCGCCTCCCCATGACGACCCAGGCATTGTAGAGCAACACCTGGTTCAAATAAATATAATTAAATAATTCAATTGTAAAAAAAACCTGATGCTAATAATGATAAAGAATAGAAGTTCAAAATAACTACGAAATTTTAAATAAATAACTGTGAATTGTTTCGTGATAAAGGCAACATAAATTTGTATATTCCAAATGTAATATTACAAAACCAGAAAATATAAAGTCCTATTATAAATGATTTAAACACACATTAAAATTATTAACTGCAATTTAAATTTATCGTACGCCAACGTAAGACAAATGTGTAGAACGTCTAAGCACGCAAGAAAAGTGAAAGTATGCCTATTGACAATTTGCAGTAGAAAAGCGGAAAACGCAACCCATATGCAATAGCATGCATTTCAATTGCATCAGAATACTGTTTAATTATTCCAATCATTGAATACTTGGTGATATTTATTCTCATTATCATAGTTGATTAACTTTCAAAGAGAAAATAGCTTCCTTGGTTGCACAGATTATTAATTTAACGATTAAAAGATAAAAAAAAGATGTGCATTAAATGTTTATCCCTCATCATGACGTCACCTTTTGGACAGACACTTTTTAATTAACATGTCTTCAAATTCATTCAACTTTTACACTTTTGTTTTATTTTATAACAAAATGTACAAAATAACTTCATGTATCCAAGTAGCAGTTTAGATCGTCGCCTTTTATTTCTTTTGAGGGATTTTTATGCGACAAATATTTAATAGTTGACATAGAAACTCTTTGAAATAAAAACTCTGTTTTGCTTTTATTAAAGTTAATAAATTAAATGCTACTGTTTACCTTGTCTGTAGTAAGCCTTCGGCCAGTTAGGACACAGCTCTCGCGCTCGTGTCGCATCTTGCAGTGCCGCTGCAAACTGACCTTGCTTCAAACGAGCTGCAGACCTATATCATAGAAGATACAGATCAAAATCATTTGTCGTTTACAAGTATTGGATACAAACTAACACAATTCTAAAGAGCAAATATTTACGTTTGTCTTTGTAAGAAAAAAGGAAATAGGTGTTCCATGAGTCAGAGAAATAGAATTTTAGGTTAGCTATACACGAAATATGCGAAGTATTCAAATATGTTTTGATAATTAGTCATAGTTTAAGAAGTACGTTTTACAAATTGCGTAATATCCATTACCTGTTACTATATAGAATGTGGTTGGCGGGGTCTAGTGTCAACGCATCAGTGTATAGTGCAACAGCTGTTGAGAAGTCGCCAGCTTGGCATGCCGCGTTAGAGGCGCGTACTTTTTCAACAAAGAGAGCTCTGGAGGCCGCCCCCAGAGACGCAGAGCCGGTTGGCTCTACCTGCAAACGAATTAACATATCAAGATCTGAATAGTAAAGTAAGCAGAGATAGAATGATAAAGAAAGATAGAGACTTAGTAAGCCATGGAAAGAAGTAGAACGGATGGTCAATTGAACAAAAGGATGTTGGAATGGACTAACAGAAGATAGACTTGTCATATGATAAATCAATCTGGTCGTAGTTTTAAGAGTAAGTTGGCATAATAGCAGCACACTTCATGGCAATTGGCGGCCTTAATCTAAATCCTTAAATTTAAACGTGTTTTACGTAGAATCTTTCATTATTACAAGCAGAACTCTCGTGCGTGTAAATGCCGTGGAGTTTTCTTGCTTACCGCAATTAGCCTCGAATTCGACGAGCAATAAAAGGTTTTGATTTTAATTGGTTCGGACATTTATGATCGTGTTGATTTAATGTTTTATTCCTTTATTGATGATTTCACTGACCAAACTGGATGTAAATTGGAGAGTAGCGTGTGAGTTTGTATAGCACAAATTTAGTTTACATTTAGTAAGTTTCTACAAGAATATCAATAAAAAAAATTTTAAAGTCGCGTTAGAATTTCTAATAATGTTTAAAAGTAATTCTTTTGCATTTCAACACAAAATACTCTCGAATCCTTAGCCATTTTCCAAGAAACTGTATAATAAAACCTTTCATAAATATTTACAAATCAAAATGTCCTGTGTTGCCATAACAAAGGCATAAAGGGCTCCAGGGCCCGGCTCATAATAAGTAGGCAATAAAAAGACAATGTCGACGTGCTACTGAATTCCGAGGCCCTCAAAAACCGGTCAACGATTGACTTCTGTTCGTGTGCCACTGCTTCTATATTTTTTGTGTCACACTCCTAGCGATCTGATGACAGGTTTAATATCAACAGATTATACAGACTTCATTTGTTTTTTTTTTCATGCAATTTAATCCTTATTCATATTTTTATAACGTCCTGGTCCAGGTAAATGAGAAAACTGATTGAAACACGTACATGAGGCTTGGTAATTGCGGACGTAGATGGTCCATGTTGGTCCACTCTTTGGCGATTTATACCAAGAGCGGGAGAGAATGTAAAGAACAAAAACTGATTTTTATAAAAAAAGCATCAATGAAGTCTATAAAACGCTAGTACAGAACTTTAAGAATCGATATGAATCGGTTTGAAGAGTGACCAACTTGGTTGCAATTTACAAAGAGTAAATATCGGCAGAAGCGAAAAGAAAATTTCTTCTCACATAAAGTAAATGTTATAGCTTTAATCCTACTATATTAGTTCATTGTACAAGTCTTAGGACTTTCAAATCGCTGTATTCAAAGTGGAAAGTTATCCATTTAATACAAACGCCGACGTATTTGGAACTTATGCGAGAATGGAAATACTCTAACACCAAATGCGGTTCACTCTTATCCATATTAAGCGAAGTACTTTAAAAATAAAGGTCCACGTCTAAATTTGAAAGGGCGTGAGGCGTTACCACCTGCGCTATCTAGCGGACCGCATCGGAAGCGAGATTATTTTTTTTCTCACGAACCGCATTCTCTTACCATACCATTAAACATCCAGTCAAATGACTGTACGTCTTGTGCGTAGTACATCGCCGCGTCGCATTATCCTGTCTGAATGTCTGCTCCAAGTAACAACGTAATGTATTGCGTGAGACTTTTAAATGTCGTATTCGTGTTTTTGTATTGACTGTTCATAAATAAGCGATAAATACGCATTTTTACCTTCAACCTGTTGCTACATTTTGGTATCAATACGACTTTAAGGTTGGTTGTAAGTGTTAAAGCCATACTGCTTCAGGAAATTATTTTAAACTCGGCAGCATATGCGAAATTATACAAAAGCTGACACCATTACTAACTTAAATGCAGCTTAATTAGGTCAGAGCAAACAAATCTAGTAAGATTTCCCCAATATCACTTATTATCTTTATTAGTGACAGAATTTCATCTCGATAGAGACTTTGATAGAGGCTTGATAAATAAAAATGTGAAAGAAGAAAGTAAATTGCATCGGTCTTGCGGTTGACTTAGAAAATCGATTAGGCTTAGACTCTGCTATTCTAGAGCAATGATGGCATTCCTAATATTTCTTAACATAGAATACAATATAACCGTGACAAAGATGTTAAAGAAACAAATAATTATAATAAGAATCTGAAAACTTCTTGGTGTAAAATATTACATTGAAATTCACCAACATGGTAAAGATTACCTACAATTACATAAAGTTTTGGAGCGTGAACGCACCGATGTTTCCTCTGTAAGAATGCGTTTGATTGCTCATGTCCTCTGTTCGGTGCTCTGTGACCGTCAACTTGTCAGTTGTTATTGTCTATGCTACTACTGCCTTTACTTATTGACCTATGATACAAAAGGTGTATTTTAAATTAATATTTTTTGTTATTCAATGGCAAAATATTGTAATGTAAAGTTTGCGAAATTGCAATATAAGAACACTTATCAGTACGTACAGGTATAAGCAACGTGATTGTTTCGGCCATCTTGAAAAATGACGGCCGTAATGGCCACTTATTCGCTTTATTAAAATTTCGTTTAAAGAGGCGCCTGATAGCCACGTAGCCTACATGGTAATTATTTTTCCTCTGAACCATCTTCAATTTATCTCCAAGATTTGGGAAGAGCATACTTTTTAAATACCGCATGTAACTAACTATACGCATTTAATTATAATATGGTATAACATCATATCTACAATGTTAATCATAATTAAATGTTAAATTATTGAACGATATTTGCAAAATAATTTACTAAGTAAATTATATTTTATAGGGAAACTTAAATCATATTTTGAAATTATTATTTGTGAGGACATAAGACAAACTGATTTAATCCTTGAACCCCCTAATCGATGGACTAAGCAGACTTTTTTTAAAACAGAAATACGTCATAGATACAAACAACGTAGCCATTTATAACCTGTGTGTTATTCGTATTATCATTGCTATTAGGTCCAAATAAAACCACGCATAAGACAATTTGTACCTAAACAGAAGTATATTGAAATGAAAAATGTTGCCGGTGCAAGTGAAAGCAAACGAAATATTGAGCGTCAACAAAAAATGCAAATAGAACAACTAAAACATTCGAATTGGGCCTCGAAACCTCTCAGGTACGATCGTTGAAAAAAAAACAAAAAAAGACATGGCGTCGTCGGTCATCCTTTGTCTATTTTTTCCCGCTCATTTTCTCATTGTGTGCACCTCGGGATAATTACGAGATTCTTACCTGGCAAGTATAAAACAATTAACGTGTGTGGGTTCCGAGACAAATCACATAATATTTGAGACCGGATTTCTGTAATTTCTGATGGTTTTGTTAAAAGGTTCTGGTACACGCACGTGAGTGAAGATTTTATGGGAATCGAATTTAAACACGGAATACGTCACGGTCCGATGTTATAAGTAACTACATAAATGAGAATGTCAGATAATTTATTTGTTTGTTATAAGAAAAGTAATACTTTCAGCAAAACTCTCCAAGCTTGAGGCGACAGCCAATTATGCATTAAAAATCTTCATGTTTCCAACTTCCGCGCATCTGTCCACTTTGGCCAGCGGCGCTGGCCGCCTCACGACTCCATACTTATTTATATAAGTCGACCGAATTAAGAATGCACGATATTTCCCATACGATGTATCGAGTTTTTCAATGTCGTATTTCATAAGATATTTTTTGCATAATAACGCACGATACGCGATACATTCCTGGAGTTACATAACAAAAACCAATGCTGTGTGTAACGCATACGCCTTTTCTTGTCAGGAATCATTTTAAAAAACGTATATTTACTTTTAACAGTTTTGTTTTATGTTCTAAAAACATACCTCAAAAGCTACTTACGAACTGATAACATACTTTTTTTTATAAATGAGAAGGAATTTCTTTCTTATTGAAAGTTTTTTGATTGGGCACGCGTGCAGTATACCATCGGAATGCGCTCGTGACAATCGGTTTCGCGCGTAATCATCTCCGCCATCTTGTTTTTGCTGTCAAAATGATAGCCTAGAGGTGACAGCTTGTGGTTTGAAACACGCGGTCTTAACTACTTGATATAGAGGTAAATGATATAATTTAAGCACAACGAAATAGTAAGTGAAATCATAACAATTTTAGTAGTCTAAGAGCTAGTCAAGAAACGCTGATGACAATTGACAAAACATTTTTTAGTAGCGCGACATAAAGCTCAATACTGGCTATAAACAATTTTAAAAATATTCATGAGTCAGTTTTATTCGTAATTTGGGATCGTACGAGACATATTTTACGATCAATTAAACATTAATATGGTGCTCTTGACTGTACCTATTCAGAACTAATTCAAGGATATTATCGCTTCAAATTTGTTTCTTCTTCCATTTAATTATATCCAGCCTGTTATTACGCCGAACATTATCGCGGATTAAGTATACTTTTTTTTTATTTTGTACCCTTGCAGACCATCCAGGTAGGGCGTGGCGGACAACTTGTATTTTATAGCTGGCCAGTATAATATGACCACCGTGGTTTTAAATTCTTTGAAATCAAATTTGGAACGGGCGATTTCCGGAGGGGTCTATTTGAATCGGTTACGGTTAAGACTGCGCTGGATGAAAAAGCAAACAAAATTTTTTAAAGTTCGTAAACTGCATTATTGTGGTCGTTTTTTCGAATGGGTCGGCAATCAACCGAGCATAAAGTTCATAATACTAATTGCAGCAAAGATAGTGCTACGTCTTGTGGCATTCGTAGGTAGTCATAAATGTGCTTATATTGTATGTAATTTAAGTCTATTTATAAAGCGAAAAGCTGACATAAAATATGTTGGTGAATTTATTGCTTTTGCAGTGCACGTCTTGGATTTTTAATTACTATAAAAAGATATTCATTTTAATATGTCTACATTATTAATCTACAATACTGGAAAGGAATTTTTATTAATTACAGACAGTTTACTATTATTAGCAACTGAATAGTTCGAATCTATACATATAATAAA